GGGATAGAATAAAGGATTAACATAAGGGGTTAGAATAAGGGGATAGATTAAGCGGTTAGAATAAGAGATTAGAATAAGAGGATAGAATAAGGGGATAGATTAAGGGATTAGAATAAGGGGATAGAATAAGGGTAGTGCGTAGCTGCCGGAAACCTATTGAAGATTTTCGAAGTCTCGAAAACCTTCAATAGGTTTCCGAGATCGTGAGCTTTTTTCATTGCTTTTGAAGGTTTCCGAGAGCTCGGAAACCCTTTCTCGGAAACCTATAAAGGGTTTCATATAGTGACAAACCCGGAAACCCTCTATAGGTTTCTGACAAAACCTTTTTTTTTTAGAGTGTAGTATAATAATGTCTGTAATATGACGGGTTCTGCTAAGAACTGTATAAAACATACCAGGTTTCCAATATTTACCACCAAGATCAATAACTAATTTTGAGTATGTCATACATTGAGTTCTATGTATAGTTATAGCATATCGAAGAGCAAGTGGCAATTGCAAACGAGTCATGCTGATATTGTTCATATCATTAAATCGAGTTACCTGAGGTTCCAATTTATATGTTTGGCCATTGAATAATTTTAAATATTGTTTTATAATTAAGATCTGTCATTTCCTGAACTTTGATAGTTTTACCGAGTTCTACCTATTTCGGTAGTTTTGTATTGATAACATTTGATAATCCAGGAAATATGTTTTCGGATGCTGCTGGTGGTAAAAGAAAATCTGTAGAATCCTCCCAAACTATCTTTTTTACTACGGCATCAGTTTCATTAATAACAGAGTTATCTTGATCGATATTTCGTCTAATAATAACGCGTGCACCAACAGAAATAGGTAATCGTTGGTACAATGAACCGCATTTATTTTCATCAGGTGACGGTTTAAGATTAATTTTACATGCTCTATGAGTTGTTTTGCTAGAGTTGAAGAAAGATGTATTAATCATTGCTACTCTCTATATAATGAATATATTCCTGTTTTAGATTAATATAACAGTAAAAAGTAAACTTACATCCACAGCGTTAATCATAAAAATAGGATTTTTCGAATCAGATGCATGCTTTTTTAACTTTTCTATATTTCTTAAATTTATCAATTTTCGAATTCCATACGCATGAACAGCATCTTCAAAATCTGATGAATTTAACTCTTTCAATCTCTCTTGATAACTTTCAGAATTGTCTTGTTAACGTATACTTCTTGATTTAATTAAGTCGGCTGACTGCACGAAGTGCTGACAGAGTCGACTTATTGATTTTCACTCGCTTAGTTGCGTCACGATTCAAGTTAGCCACTCGTTCTCAGCTTCCAAGCATCATTTTAAGTCGAAAAAGGCTTGCCGAGATCCTGAGAACGTGATGAGCGCACATCTGAAATTCGTTTTTCGAAATTCGGCACCGTTCGGGAGATATGAAAAAGTCGAAAATGATAATTACCAGCTGAGAGATTGCTTATATGACGATGCATGATTCAATCTTAAGTGACCATTCATAGCTTAGATGTCAAATGCATATATATTTTAATTATCGTCTTCTGCGAGATAAAATCATTCACCACGAAGTCTCGAACGTTGAAAAATATTTTCCAATGGCTTATATAAATCAGATGCGAAAAATGATAATGAACAATTGAATGTTTCCTTATATAGCAATAGCTGATTCAGATTCATTATCTTCCACTAGCCAGCCGACCCAAGATATGTGAACGCGAATAAAATTCATTATGGCTTCCTCTACAATATTCTATGATTTAAAAATAATAGATGTCATTTACAATGGTATTCTGATATTTTTCGGGCTCGTGCAGTCAGCCGATATTCCATCCAGCGCGGAGCGCTGAATGGCAATCTAGTTAGATATTCGGTCTCTTCGTCCAAACCACCTATATCATATGTTATCTCTATTTAGAGTATTAATATAAAACAAAGGATACCCATTCGCATTCGATACAGACAATCAAAGAAGAGCCGGTCATCTCCTTGTCTCATATTAATGTCAAAATTTATAGGTCTGAATAAGTCGTGCCATAGAGAAAACAATTGACCTAGTGGACGATAAAATACTTGTTTAATTGCGACGGGTTCAATCTAAACCACGTCATCGAATACGATGACAGGAAAAATCGTCAAAGTAAACGTCACATTTATCAAGTGTACAAAATATTTCATTTAGATGCTTGTTAATTTTTTGAAATAATCCATGTGAAACAAGTGAAATTTCGTCAATAATAATCCATCGAATCGCTTTCTTAGTGTATAAAGTTTAAAAGAATTTAATTTGTTTGGTGATGAACTTCCATCTTGACACTAAAAGAAAAAGCATATTCTACCATGTAATAACAACAAGTACGTAAGTTTACAATTTCAAGTGCAGAATGTACGGGGGTGTGGGTGTTCTTTTTTTCATCATCCACATCCACGTCCACACCCACAACTACTCAAATCCACACTCACACTCACTCTTCACAGTGCAAGTATCACTGTTGATAATATGATTTCCCAAACTGCATCGCAATGTAAGGACAGATGTGAGTCCCGAGCTTCTTTATCATAAGCAACAGCACTAGTATCTTTGAAAAGGTCATGAAAGGATAGAGCACAAAATTCTCTATCTATCAGTGTTAAACACTTTGGTTTTAACATTGACTTTGATGAGTAAAATCTTCTACTAATCAATAAATGTCTCAGAAAATATCAAATCGCAGTTGAATGATTAAGTAGAAGTAAATCGTTTTACTTATGCACCGAAAAAAAAGAAGGCTTGCTCGAAAAAATAAAATCCACAGTATTGTAGAACTGGAAATTCTCTATCTTTTGGTATCAAAGGAAATTTTTTTTCGTAATTAGAAAATGAGAGAACAAAGTACCAAGATTTAGTGCAATTTATTCTAGAACATCCGTTAGAATCCTCGAGATATCCTAATAGTTGCAAAAGATGTATATGATCGATATTATTAGTTAAATTTGTTGTATCTGGTTATTGATAAATATGGTAAGATAGCTGTAAAATTTACCAAAACGATCAAAATCGGTTGCAGAAGGCAACGACTACGAGCTTTTTAAAACTTTTGAGTATGCATGATTCTTAATTCTGCACTAAATTTGACCTCAAGTATTAGAAATTATATCTAGGAAATTAGCCTTTACTTTTAAAACAATAAAATTCCATCAAGATATAAAGTTTCCTAGATATCTCACAATAGAACTAACCTCATTTAATGAATAACTTAATTCAGTCGACATACCAATAAAAGAAAAAAAGATTATTCAAATTATTAACGAATTGACCAAATGATTTGACAAATTTAGGTAATTCATTTGATAGTGAAAGAACATTGAATAATTGTAATTCTAGAGGATGTAGTTGTCTTGGCATTAATAATGCTTTACTACTAAAAACATCATACAATGGTTGATTTGTTGAGTATACTGGCATATTGTACGAGATAAGTCGAGAAAAAACTTCGTATTCAGGTGTATCAATATACTTTGTTGCTTGTCTGATACCTTCTGAATTAAAATCACCATGTATAATGGTGGGCCATTTAATAGATGAATTAGACAAAGTCAACACACCATTGGAAACCTTGAAGAAATTGCGATGTTGCCTACATAAATCGATACATTTTGTTAATACACTTGTTGATGTTTGTTCTTTCAGAAATTCTCGAAAGTTCATTGATACTTCATTGAAATCTTCCATATTGTTATTAGTAACAATTTCTTCAGTATTCGAACGAATAAAATGTAATGTTTATTACAGTTTAATTAAAATTAAGATAATTGACTTTCAGCAAAAAACAAAATGAACTTAACTGTGCGATCGAATATTTTTTTTTACTGATAAAAAATAATAGTTTTAAGACTATATATAAGAATGTGAAAATTTCTCTTTTCAATTTACCGCCATTAAGTAGTAAATTAGACTCGTAGCAAAAATGAATTAACATTCAACAATAATGTGCAGAAATTCAAGACTTCTTTTACTGTTTGTGCCTACTATTATTCTAAAGTTATGTTACGCACTATCAATGTTTCTAATTCTCAAATAATATTCAATCTAAAACTGTATAAGATAAGTCATTAGTACCTATATTACATTTTCTAACTTCTAAAATTTATTAATATATAACACAACATATCAACATAGGTTTTCAAAAATACAGATAACCTTTATTTAAAGGTTCAAAATCAGTATCGTACGTTACATTTCACAAAATTGGAAACATAATCATACCGAAAAACTTCAAACTGTTTCACAAAATTGCTTTACAGCTATATAACTCATAATTCTGTGTTTCAACGTACTTTTCTATAGCGGAATTTGAATAATTTAAATTTTTTTTTTCTTGATATAGAAAAAGACGAAAACAAATATTATGATTTAACCTAATAATAATCAATAATACACGAAAAAGAAAACGGTTACTAAATTCTTTTCCTTTGATAATAAAAGGAATTTAAAAAAATAGACTTAGACAATATATAAGGGTATGGGTGGGTGTGGGTGTTGGTGGGGGGGGGGGGGGGGGGGTGAGTGTGGGTGTTGGGCATCTGTTAACTCATAGCCACACTCAACCCACACCCAACACACCCACACCCAGACCCACTCCCACCCATATCCACACCGCACACACCCGATATTTTTTTGGTGATAGGGGCTAATTCAGAATTGTTTTCATAGGAACAATACTAATCAAGACTTCTTCGAACCATCATCAGTGATTGAAATAAAAAAAAATGAAGTCTCTTGTGGTATTCGAAAAAATGCATACACAGTGATTCGTAGATAGCTTTGGTTTCTAACATCAGAGAGAATCAGGAAAAGAAGTGAAAATTAGAGATCTTCGGGACAAAATTTTTCGTGTCCCGTCCTGAATTTCTTTTTGAATTGTTCCGTTGACCGACTGTGATGCAAGACAATGCTTTTTTAATATCATCAATAAATGAGACAAGCCACATACGTCTAGATGATTGGTAAATAAATAAACGCATCATACAACAGTTTTGAGAATATAGAATAATAAACTGAATTTTTTTTTCATTTTTTGTCTTTTTCAAATGCATTTTTGTTTCTCCTTTCTTATAATATAACTAATCAGATAAAATAAGAAACAACTGACAGAGATTATGATAATGAACAGATTTGAACATATCGTTCAATATTTTTTTTGTTCTTTTTCCTGTTACCTATTTAAATATTAAGATGTCTTTGAAAAATAATCTAAGCGAACGAGATATGTTAAAATAGAAAACCAAGAAAAGTTCGGGATATTGGTTTTTTTAAATTGTCCCGTCACGAATGTCTCGCGGGACAGGGCAAACAAAATTTTTCGGGACTCGGAGCTGTCTCACAGCCCCTACAATATACACATGACTATAACTACTTCCACCATTATGTCTTTATAAATAATAGATTAATTTTGGTCGTTTGGTTGTTTGAATTTTTTATTTGCATCGACTGAGATTGAAGCGATTTAATCATGCGAATTGAGTATCAATTGAAATGTTGTAGTAGTTCATACTCATTTCTTTTTTTATTCCTTATCTTCTACTATAATGAAGTTTAACCTATGTAAATATTATTTAATCAAAATAGTGTTATTTTTCTTTTCATTATAGATAAATCATTTTTCAAACAGTCATCTAAACACTGAATGTTACCAACAGCTATACATTTTCATCGATCAATACTGGCAAAATTTAATGCGAGCTAGTCAATAATTAGTGTATCAGATAATTCATATTGTTTATGACTCGAATTACTAGTAATAACGAAATAATATCTGAAACTATCGGAAGAAGCTCGACAAAGCAGAAACATCCTGTGAGTTGCCGTAGGGCAAACGCACACAGTTGTTTCACTATAAGACAGAGTTAACTCTGAGAGCTCATTTGCGCTACAGTGGATAAAAAACGCGTCACATAAACACTCACCTATATGCCAACTAATATTGACCAACACCTTTATCATATTTAGTATTCATACACATGTTTATGACACTCACTATTCACAGATATCCTTATCAAACTTAATATTTATATAGGTCTTTATCATACTTTGTTTTCATGCATACACTTTATAAGAAAAGATACAAGCAATTTCACATACTCTAATAAAAGCAAAAACAAGTGCTGACGACAATGAACTCTATTACTGGTGAATGTTTGTGTGGGCAGATCACTGTTTCGCTTACCAAAGAAGCATTCGAAGCAACTGACAAAACTCTTGTATGTCGGTGCAAGAACTGTCGTCAATCTAGTGGCTCTCTAGGATCAATCAATATTATTGTTCCCGAATCGGCTGTTAAAATCACTGGACAACCAAAACTTTACCGAGATAGTAATACAACTAGTGGAGCGCCACTTCAACGCGCTTTTTGTGGCAACTGTGGTAGTCCAATTTATTCAGCTTCACCCAATATGCCTGGTATTCAGGCCGTTAAATTAGGATTATTTGATAAAATTCCCAAACTATCAGTGGAGCTGTTCTGTAAAGCAAGGCCTTCTTGGGATAAACCAATTGCTGATGCACATCAATTTGATACAGTGCCACCAAAACAATCATGATGGTTAGATTGGATCACAAACCTATCTGAATAATTTTTTGTAAGATGGAACTCTTTAATAAAAATAATAGAACTATAGTCCTATCAATTAAAAGTAGAACTTAAATTTTGTTTTTTTTTT